AATTATGCTGGCATAATGAAGTAAGGATCTTTCCCTTTATGTAAAGATCCATTTACAATATTATATGCATTGAAATCATCTGTTCGTGACATTGTAAAGTCATATCAACAAGACGGGTTTAAGTCTTTACATAACTCCAGGGAATATCGTCAAATTAAGTGTATGAGATAGAGAAAGCGGACATTAAGAAACAATGACGTCATCGGACATCATGAAACTAAACATCGGGTGATCATACAATGTCTTTTTTATTTAAAGATAATTTAGCAAATTATCAAATTAGCAAATTATCAACGTATTAAACTAAAATTTCTTAAACTTTTGTTTTTTACGTTCGTTCCTTATAAATTTTGTAAACACAGACTACATAATATTAGTTTTATCGCATCAGTCCACGAACTTTTCGATAACCCCTCGTATGAATTGAAGAACATAAGATATAATAATCTGAAATCAATAGTAAAAATACTTTGATTTACTCTAGTGAAAACTTTAATGATTTTAGTGAACTAGAATGAACCATAGATTTTTTTTGTTGCCCAGGGCGTGCTTCTTTATCAGTCGACCTGTTTTTATATTCCTATGAAGCAGCTTTGATTTAGAAACATCTACATGAGAAAGAGAAAACACTTGTTTTTACCTTCAACCTTGATATATATATATATATATATATATATATATATATATATATATATATATATATATATATATATATATATATATATATATATATATATATGGACGACATATTATCAAACAACAATAGTTACATATACAAATGTACTCCCATTCATATGCTTAATCGATATATACATGTACAAGTGAACTTGAAATAAAAGACACCACAGAGTCTGCCACATCTGTTTCATATTTGGATGTGTAACTGACTGTGTACGATAAAGGCCAACTAACAACTAAATTGTATGACAAACGAGATGACTTAGCTTTTCCATCAACTTTAATTATTTATCTAGTCATATTCCGCTATCACGAGATATGATTTTACATTCCCAACGTATTCAATACTCAAGAGCATGCTCCGAGTACGATAATTTTTTTAACCGAGGCAGGATACTGACAGATAAGTAGATGTTACAGGAATTTCAATAACATCGTTTAAAGTCAGCATTTCGTAAATTCTATGGTCGTTATAATGACCCTAATTGTTAGTAACCTATCATTGGGTCGCATTTGGACTGACAAGCTTCATACCAATTGTTAAGCATGTGCTTTTATACTGAAATCAACTATTAAGTGTTTCGTCTAGCCGATCAATACATAGGGCTCACAGCGGGTGTTACCGGTCAACAGGGGATGCTTACTCCTCCATGGCTCCTGATTCTCTGGAATTTCCAGGAATCCCTGTTTTATGCTCTGTTGACAGATGTGTATTGTTTATATTTTTTTTTGAGATCGATCACTGTTCGATCCGTTATTTTACCTTTTGCAGCATAATCAATAGAGCCCTGTCCAACCTCCAAAACCTCTAATATGGGCAGTGAATTTCCAAGTTTTGGAAGAGACATCCTTGCTAAGTTTAGCCATGCAATTAGTTTGTCAAGTAAAAATCAAGGGTATAGAAGAATAATTTTAAAGAATTCTTGCATTTCCTCAATATAATTCATAGACCTCCACCCTAATTCCAGAACCCCTTACCCAGAATTTCACAATATTGGAAGAGGCACCCTTCTTCATCTAAACCATGCATTTAATTTGTTTGCTTAATACCCAGGAACAGAAAAGAAGATTTTCAAGTAAATAATACATTTTCACTATATAATCAATAGATCGCAGTCTAAACCAATCCCTGATCCAGGGAATGATGAATTTTAAAAGAGGTGCTCTTGCTCATCATAACCATGCACTTAAATTGTCCTCTAAAAATACAGCGGGAGGGAAACTTTTTTTAAAGAATGTTTGCATTTGCAGTATAAAATTAATAGGGCCCCGGCCTAATTCCAGAATACCTGACCCAGGGGTCAAGAATGTCACAAAATTTCACAATTTTGGTGGACGGCTCAGTGCTAATTACAATCAAACCAACAGTTTTAAAACTTTCTAATAATTAGGAGTAAGGAAGAATACTTTCAAAGACTGCATTAATCCGGTATAAATCTGACTCAATGGGGGTGGGGACCAGGAAGTTAATATTTTTTGTTTCCCTTTACATGATGGCATGCTAATTTTTTTGGATTAAATTGGCTAAGTGGTTTCCAGAGAAAAAAACTGAAAATATTCAAACATTAACACACGACGGACGACGACGGACGAAAACAGATAGCAATGGATCACTTGGGTGGCTCGAGTGACCTAAAAAGTATTTTCCTTTTAATTTAGTATTGAAAGTTAGTCCAAAAGAAAGGAACCTCTCCCCTCCTTTTCTTTATGGCTATATCCAGCCCCATTGGCTGAAAAACGATGATCCAATGATATGTGCATGTTATACAAAGATCGTAATATCAATGCTAAGAAACCTATAAAATGTAGTATTTAAATTATCTTTAAAAATGCGACAGAACTTAAATAAATGAACTTTTCCACAGAATTAAATTAAGCATAAACTTATTGTGCTCTACAAATACCGATCGTTTTCTTATTATTAAGCGAATATTTATTTTTTTTAAGGAAGGTGAACTGAAGATTACGCTTTTGCACTTATAAATATCGGATAATTTTCGCGTGTGTAAACTGCTTTGCATCAACTAAATAGCGGAAATCCCCACCTCGTTAACTCGAATTGGAGTTTCCAGCTTCACTTAATGGCCGTTAACTGTGATGGGCACAGCTAATGTTCGGCGGTTTACTTTGATTCCAATAATTCATGTTTTTCTTTTCGTTTTGATATTATGTTTAAAAAAGCTACACATTTTTCATTTCTCCCGGAAAAAGCTTCTCTTACTTTCAGGTTAAGCTATTTTATCTTTTTCTATGGGGGAGATTTCCCCCATTTACGTTCTTCTGTTTCTTTGAAAAAATAACATTTATTTTGAAAGTGTCTTTGTAAACAATAATTATCATAATTTTTAATTAGGTTCCAAATTAGTCCCAAATCTGATTATGGCTTAATTTGGAAATACAGAAATGCAATTAAAGATGAAAAAATAAGTTTTCGTTGAGTACAAAGTAAATAATAGCTATTCAACAAGTGCACAGAACGTGAGCTATGGGAACTTTCTTGTTAGTTAAAAGATGAGAAAAATAAATAAATATAACCTTCCCCTCACCCCCCCCCCCCCCCCCCCACAAATAGATATATTTTTCGCGTTAAAAAAAATGTGATATTCAGTGCTAATAAGAATTTTTCTGTATTTGTCAGTTTGATTTCCTGTTAGATGAAGAAAATTATCGATTATGTGTAAAAGACATTAAATATTCAAAAAAAAAAAAAAATCTAATCAAAGTAGTGACGTACACTGACTCAAAGAACATGTTTAATTTCTGTTCAAAATAAATATATATATGGAACTTCTGAAAGATATTTATTTTTAGTTGAAGTGATTTACCTACTATAAGTAGTATTATTCAGGTGTGGGAAATAAAAGTCATTTTAAGTATGCGGGCTTCCTAGATATGCCATGCATTAAAAACATTATGAATGATGTAGGTAGTTTTACGATTTGAAACTTGGTGCAAAAGTATTATTATTTCAGTAATAAATATGATACATTCACAATAAAGGAGGTTCGCCAGTCAATTTGTCTACTATTTGAAAACATCGTTGTAACGGGTATACAATAATAAAACAAGTATCCATTTCAAAGGAAATGGTCGTGAAATGTATTTACAGCTTCTTGACCGATTTATTTCAAAAGTACAAAATAACACGATATAGAAAACGTATCGGTACACCATGTGATAAATATACACGTGTAGAAGTAGACTGCACAGTCTTCCTTGCTTTATCAAACACGTAAAATAATATGAAAATTCCAGAAACCTGCACAACAAATGAAGTAGTCTGTCGTATTTATCGCCAACTTCACATAAACTTAATAATTGAATTTGAAGATATCAATTCATGTATGCATGCAACAATTCAATTAAAGATTAGTTGAAGTATTGCCATCTTCATTTGAATTATTACGCACATTAATTAACTGTGCGCAATTGAATTATTACCATTTTCACAATGATCATCTATTATATTTGTTATTATCTATTATATATCTATATATTTTCCCCAATGATTATCTATTATTTACATGTATGGAATCTTATAAAACACACTTCTTGAAGAAATCAAGTCGGACTTTTCGCTATTTCTTTTTGTACGAGTTATCATTCTTAAACTTGTGCAAAAGTTTTGTTTTCCATAAATTTCTTAGGAGAGTATGGTTTAATTCAATTAATACCTTTCTCTAAAAAGTAATTATTGTGTGTTGGTATTCAATTTTTTTTTCTCTAGATGGGAGAGGGTCTAAAAAGCAGCTGCATTCCAACCCCTCACTGGAAAGCTCCTGTTCTTGAACATCATGGTAGCTTAGTCGGTAGAGCACTCTCTCCCTGATCGGAAGGTAGGTCTTGGATTCGAACCTCGGCCATGACTGTCGATAAAAAATAGGTAGCAACTGTTCCTTCCCCCAAGCGCTTGGCACTTTGAAGTGAAAGTTGCTAGTCATTTGGAGGAGACCTTATTAATAAATAAAGAACCCTCACTGCTCAATGGCCCCGAGTGCCAAGTAAAGGGCTAAATTTGAAGCCCTTCACCGGTATATCGGTATGGTGATGTCTGTATATGAGTGAAAAATTCTTGAATTGGATGTAAAATAAAATACAATCAATCCTGTTTCTTGCATAGTGTTCATAAATTATTCATCATTACCTCTTATATTATTGCAAGATAAACACTATATAAATGCTATCATAAATTTCATTTCATTACAGTGAAATAAAATACTTGAACGTCCTTCTCTGAATAAATAAATGTACTGTCAAACTATTAATAAAGAAACAACAGGAAATTCTTTTTTTTTTCCCCTCGTAAAACAAATCTGAAGAAATTATTTAAGACCTTTTTAGTACAGGTTTATTTAAAAGCAATGTCAACAGTCTGCAAAACATATAACAAAAAACCATAATTGTCCAAATGATTCTACTCATGTGGTTGTTATAAATGTAACATATAACTGTATCACATTTTATTTTTTAAAAATCATAATTCTGGGGAGAAAACAATCAAGTATTATGGCAGAAAATGTTTTATCAATTCTCATCCTAGAAAAAACTACTTTAACATAGTTTTGTACTTAGAAGTAATTGACACTATTATGAATTAAAAGGCATTATAATACATTACAATATACTAAACCTCTTCTGTAAAATGGGACACAAAACAAAATTCTAAAGATAAATTAAATACGCAACAGTCAAGCACTAACTGGAAATACATACTGGGGTTATGACCTCTGAACTTATTTTGCTTTTCCTTGATTGGCTACCCTCTCCATGGCAGCCTTGACCTCTGCTTCATCAGCCAGGTAGTAGTCTTTCACATACTTCATGTTTTCATCCATTTCAATCACCAAGGGGATTCCTAAAAACATGGAATTTGTTTAGCTTGAAGAAAAAAAAATCTTACCAAGACATTTAAAAATAGTTTAGTACAGATTATTATACCTCTACTGATTTTTCCCTATATAAGATTAGATGTGATTTATTCCCTAGAAATCATTATGAATGGACTAATCCCCGTGCGTTAGTCAAGCGAGCTAATCCCTGCTTCGAAAGCTAATTCCCGGTTATTCGTAATCCTCTAAATATTACTTTTACATTGGTATGATATGTGAATGGACTAATCCCCCTATGTGTTAGTTCAGTGAGCTAATCCCTGCTTTGAAATCACGCTATCTGAATCCTCTAAATTTTATGTTTGCATCGGTATAATAAAACAGTTAAAAGTATATCATTGCAGGAGTTAGCAAGATTCCAGTTCCCCCCGACCAGGGCTATTTCCCTTGGCTTCGCCTCGGGAAATAGTCCTGGCCTTGGGGAACTGGAATCTTGCTAACTCCCTCAATGATATACTTTAACTGTATACTATCAGTGTTTATATCTGAAGGGATACTCAGTTCTGGGTAAGAGAAAAACTAGTACAAGGTATCAGTGTTTACCTGTAGGGATATTGAGTTCTGGGTAAGAGACAAAACAGTTCAATGTGTCAGAGTTTACCTGTAGGGATGTTGAGTTCTGGGATTTCCGCATCAGGAATGTTCTTGAGGTACTTGACCAATGCTCTCAGACTGTTTCCATGAGCTGAGATTAGCACCCTTTGACCAGACTACAATATAAAACAAAAAAAAATTCTACTTATCAGAGTTCAACACTAACTTTTAAAACATACACTATAGTAGCCTGCAGGGCTAGGAATTTTAAATTCCAACTAGCCTGTTTATGAATACTTGTCCAGCAGTCAAAGGCTGATGGCCGAGTTGCAAAGCAATGAGGGGGGTAGGGGGGTAGGTGTAGGAGGGGATTCCCCTGCTGGTGGGGGTATTAGGAGCCTCCCCCAGAAAATTTTGAAAATAAAGAAGCCAAATCCTGCATTCTGGCTGTATTTTAGGGCAAAATTACATCTTTAAATGTAAGTAAAGATATTTTTCCTTATTGATATTTTGTAAACCACACTTTAATTCAGCATCTACATCAGTGGTTTTAGCCATCAGTGCATTAATTGTATTCTAAGTTTTTATATCATTGGTGATAAATATTTTTGATAGGTCATCCCAAAACAATGTCTGGCAATAGAAAAGTTGACAATCTAACTTTTCTGACGACAATTCAAAAGTTATATTCCTTAAACCTTGATAACAAATTTGGAATTTTTTATTTTATGAATGAATTTTTACAATTGCTTTAAGTGAGTGTATGCAGTATCTTACATTTCAGTAACCCTGCAAGACAAGCTTGATGACTTGTTTAGCAGCCTGACCTCACTTTACAGTTGTCCTGGGTTAGCGGGCTACCGTTAGTTGCATCATCCATACTAATTTAGTGCAGGTAGGGCTTTTAGTTATATGTACTTGGGAATGGACCTGCTCCAAAAACTTTAACCTGGTCACTCATCTGGAAAATGTAGATCAGATCCAGAATCCAAAGCAAGTGTGGTAGTGTCAATCCCTTGATGCATCATTCATGCTAGTTTACACCAGGTAGGGCTTATAGTTATTTGGGAATGAACTTGCTCCACATTAACCTGACAATTCACCTGGAAAATCTAGGTCAGATTCAGCATCCAAAGCATTTGTGGAAGTGTTCATCCGTTGATGCATGAACCATGCAAGTTTGGTCCAGGTAGGGCTTAAAGTTACTTGGGAATGGACTTGCTCTAAAAACTTTAACCTGGTCACTGACTCTTCTGGAAAATCTTGGTCAGTTCCAGCATCCAAAGCAAGAGTGGTGGTGTCCATCCGTTGATGCATCATCCATGCAAGTTTGGTCCAGGTAGGTAGGGCTCATAGTTACTTGGGAGGGACTTGCTCCTAACCGGGACTAAACTTTAACCGGGATGCTAAAGCTAACGCGAATGCCTGGGGTATAGCATAAGCTCATCTTGACTTCATCGAGGTGAACTAAAAAGAGTGTGCTAATATTTCAAGCATCTACGAAGAGTAGTTGCTGAGAATACAGCAACAGAAATTAGTTACAAACAGACAGACATGCAAGGGTAAAACAGTATACAGTAAATAGTATACCTAGAAACTACTTTTGTTTGGCTGTCTGAGTTCATTATTATGCTTATTTTGCATTGGTATGCACACTATACAAACGTAATATTACCTTAATGGTTGGAACTATGATATCATGCCAGTATGGCAGTACTCTGGCTACTGTATCTTTTAAGCATTCACAGGCTGGGACAACTGTGGCATCATATTGCTGAAAAAAATGAATATGTAGAAATAGAATAAACAAATATTTCAAGTTATTTTGTCAAAGATAAAACTACAAATGATTAAAAAAAAATTGATTTCTTCATAAAGCTATTGTTTTATTGAAAGGTGTGATTAGAATAATCACATGTAGGGCAGGAGTGAGAGACATAAAAAGCTAGAGAAGTGGGTGGGGCTTTGGATCAAGTATGTGCATTTACAGAATCATGTAAATATAAGTAATAACTGTCAGTTTATTTTTGTTTTATGATGATCAAGGAATTGGCTTGTGTGATGATTCTATACATGAACGCTTTTGATGCAAATTATCACGCAAGCCAATTGCTTGATCACATCATAAAAAGATATAATAGTTATGTAATTTAGAGTTGCATTGTATAGATAGGGATAGGTGTACTTAAATGTGCATGTACTTTCTGGATGATAATCAAAACAAAACACACCACAAGCTTATATATATAAAATATCTATTTAGTTACTTACACTGAAATGCCTATCACTGTACTTAAATGTTCATGCACTTTCTGGATGATAACTTAAACAAAACACAAAGCATGCTTGCTGGAAGACAACTCTAGTTCTATGAAATATCTATTATAGTAACTTACACTGTAACGCCTATCATTAGCTGACCATCTTGGATCTGAGGGTTCCAGTGCTGGAGGTGGAGTGTCATAGGACCTACGCCAAATCTGGAAGGCAAAAAAGCTTTTAACTACACTACAAATATAATCTGCACAATCTTTCTGTTCCCAGTTCATCAATATCTTAATGGTCTTATATATCTTGTTTGTTGCATTTTAGGTAAATAGTTCTAAATTTTTTCATTTGTACATACTGCCATCAATATAGTATTTCTCTCATTTGACAATTGTATTTTAACTATGCTGTGAAAAACTTCCATTGAAAATTGTGACAGAATATGTAGCGTTACTTAACATCACACAGAAAAAAGTACATCTACAGCAGTAATTTTTTCTCAGTGCATTCTAATAACATTGTTTCTTCCATTGCTACAATACCTTCACTTGGGCCTCCCCATATTTTTGTGCCGTCTCTGATTTGTTTAATCCCTGCAGTGCTCCGTAGTGGCGCTCATTCAGTCTCCAGTGCCTGTGGACTGGAATCCAATGAAGATCTAATTCCTCCTGAACCATATACAGTGTTTTTACGGCTCTCTTCAGAACACTGGTGAATGCTATATCAAACTGATAACCTTTCTCTTTTAACATCTGAAATAAAGCAAAGATATGGTCAGAAATGTCAAATTTTTCTTTTGAAAAATGTGAAAATAACAAACAGTGATCACACCATCATTCTTAAATGTCCACAAATTAGGTCCGCAGGACAATTATCATTTCAATGTTTAGAACATTCTATCTAACTTCCGAAATATGTGCCAGTATTTAAATTCTAAAACGCCATGTACTGGCACATATTACATTTGAAAATTATATTGAGATATTGAACAGGTCCAGTACAATCAGTACATTAAACTACGTAGCTAGAATTACCTACCATAGCTTTATTTAGCTACCTCAGGTAGCTTTAATTAGCTATTTCAATGCAACTTTTCACAATTTTGCTTTTTTATTTAAAAACGACAAAAAATCGCAAGTATATGAATACTAATATTTATAGCGAACGCAGCAAGCAGCGCGAATCGCTGCTCACACTGCGAGCTCTAATGACAATGCCTGGGCGAAGAGAAAATTCGGACTTGCACATTGATCCAAATGATTTTATTTTCCACAGTAATTTCTGGACCTAGAGACGGGTCTAATTAAATAGCAAATAATACACAAAAAAGGTGTATCTGTGCTTGCTCCAACGATCGCACTGTCAGCATATTACGTCGGTTTTTTAAAAAAGCAATCCAAAGCAGAGATAGTTTAAACATTGCTGCGTTTGATCCCTTTTAAGCAAATTGTTTGAGTAAATGTAAACAACTCTGCATTTGGTGAGGCATGGATAAGTATGATTACTTCACATTCTGCTGAATATTTACCAATCATCATGTTAACCAGAACTGGTTTTCTTTGTTATTTCATTCAAGAAGTAACTGTTTGGTCACAAATTAACTGTTGTATATAGCCCCAAAACTTGGAGAACTTTGACTGCAATTGCGCAGAAAAAACACACTTCCAAGAGTGATTTTTTCATGCATTGTTTTTAGATGAGTTTACAGTTGAAAATTATCACTGCATCAAAGTGCAATTTTCTGCACATCCATGACATCCGAGAAAAATTCTAATTTAAGAAATAAGTTTGAATTGGTAGCTAATTAAAGCTACTTCAGGTAGGTAGGTAAAGCTATGTAGGTAATTCAAGCTACGTAGCTAAATCTAGTGTCTGTACCAGACCTGTTGAATAGAGAAAACTCGAGTTTTTACCTTTCCTGCATTTTGTGCCTCAACAATTCCAGTCTCAGACAAGTCAGCGTCATGCCAACCACAGAAAAGATTTTTCTTATTCCACTCGCTTTCTCCGTGACGCACACAAACTAATGTGTACTTGGCCATTTTTCCTAGCCAATGGAAAATACAATATTCTTCCTTTGCCGGTTGGTGTCAACTTGACCTTGAATGCAAGTGGCCTTGAGATTCTAATATCTAACCAACACGGGGCCCAAATCCGGATTTATGTTAAATGCGAAAAACGTAACGGTCATAGAATCCGTATAGCTAGTCTGAGGTAAAACTTTATGGTCCAGCTTTCAATAAAATAAAATAAAATAAAATAATTTTAAAATGGTCAATAAACGTTAGTAATGTACTATATTTTTTTCCATTGGATAAAAAATCCATGAGGATACAGTATTAAGCTGAAGAATTTTAATTTATATCTCATTTACAGAAGTGCAAATTCATTTTTACAGTGAAGTATACTATATTCTAGCCTGATAAAAAGAAAATAGGAAAAGAAGAGATGAGGTAGAGGAAATTCTCTTTTAATTACTAGTCAAGGTTTAGGTAGAAAACCTTGCCTTTGCTAGTCAATTTTATTTAGCTGAATCAATATAGTGTTTTATTACAAATGTTAAAAAGTTTTAACACTATAAATTCACTTGGATATATTAAAATCGGCTAAGCCTGCTACATGTACCTTCATTGGTTAGACATTTTCCTCTCCCTTCTCAAGGCACACACATATATATTCCCTATTCATGAATTCAATCTAATTAAAATTAGATCTTCAATCTGCTCCAACTAGATCGCTACACAAAGTTGGAGCGGATCAAAGATCTAATTTTAATTAGATTGTCACAAATTTGTATTGTTTGTAGTTTGTTTTTGCTTTTTAAGATTGATTTCTGTTTGTTATCTTCACCTTTTAAATACAATTAATGAAACTCACAATTAATCCCTCGTCTATATAGTGAATTTGAAGTCCTTACCCTGATTAACAAATTCTGGAGTTATCCTGTCAAACAACAAATGTATAAACAGACAAACTGACACACAGCATCTCACACAGACAGTGAAATATGCTGCTGTAAAACATCAATATTCTGAAGAGGAGTCTTAAATAAGGAACAAGACACAACAGTAAGGTATAACAGTTTTTATTCATCACTGGATAAACTACTACTGGACGAGTCACTGGACATGAAACCCACGTCCTCTGTCTCTGTTTTGTGTCCTTTCATGTCTGATAAAATGTGACTCCCACTGGCCCCCAGACCAAGTTCTGTTGATGAATGCCACCCCGAGGATGAAGTAGGAGTACCATCTATTAAAAAAAAATGCATAATCCCTACTAAATGGGTCCTCTTTTGTATTTTTAAGTTTTCCCCATTTTATAGAGGTTAAAGAGAGACAACTCTGTATTTAACAATTGAATATGACAAGCCAATTTAGTGAAAAATTTTCATTGTAAAAAATAAATCAATGTTTGTATTTCATACACATTATTTATACTGACCTGTTTGAGCCCCACTCCTGTTACTAGATATAGGATCCCCATAGGAGCCTTGTGATTGCAAAACAGGGGTATTTAAGGGGAGATCACCAGCTTTTCCTAGAAATCCAAGTCTCATTTCAAAGTCTGTAGGATAGGGCCTTCTGGGATCACCTTTTGAAAAGAATAATCTGTGACTAACAAATTTTTTCCTTAATGTCATGGACTAGTGAAAGAAAGTTTCATTCAATATGCTTGCATAAAATCATTGAAATATTGATAATCTATGTGTGAAAAAGAGAAAAGAAAAAAATCAAAGGATTACTTTACAATATATGTAAACATATTAATAGAAATAAGTCAACTCATGAACAGTTTACATTTTCATAATTTCATATTTGGTGGGTTATAGCAAGGAAAATATTGTAACCGTATGATATTTCTGAGATTTGAAATTAAAAAGTGTACAAGCATGATACAACATATATCTAGAGCACCAAAATGGTCTTACACATGTATAGGTCATGTCTGAGAAACTATTAAAACAAAGATACATGTACTGACTACATTATCATGTTTTATGACGAATTAATTGACCTGCATATATTTAAGACTTGGTACTTAACTTTTTAACAAACTTCTATAAGATTTCAGATCCTATCTTGTCATACCCCTACCGAGATGCGACATTTCTGTACCTACCTGGGGCCCATGTTGGCAGTGAAGCTACAGCATTACTAGGACTGATTCCATGGGCATGTACATACCTGGGACCCATGTTGGCGGTGAAGCTACAGCATTAGTAGCATTGATTCTGTGGACATGTACATACCTGGGACCTATGTTGGTGGTAAAGCTACAGCATTACTGGCACTGATTCTGAGGGCATGTATGTACCTAGGGCCCATGTTAGTGGTGAAGCTACAATTGGCACTGATTTTTTGGACATGTACATACCTGGAGCCCATGTTAGTGGTGAAGCTACAGCATTACTGTCACTGATACTGTGGCCATGTACATACCTGGAGCCCATGTTAGTAATGAAGCAGTGAAGCTACAACATTACTGTCACTGATTTTGTGAGCATGTACATACCTGGGGCCCATGTTGGTGGTGAAGCTACAGCATTACTGGCACTGATTCTATGGGCAAACTTGATCAGTTCTTCAGATGAGATTTTCTTTTTGTTTGCCTGATTAATAGCTGTCAATTTCTGTTTGGCTTGATATATTGCAGTAGACTGTAAAATTTAGATGATATACAATTCTCAACAAATGATAACAACTAAAACTGAAAACAGAATCAAAATTGTTATTAATATTTTGGTACATCATACACAGCATAAATATTCATTAATAGAACTGTATGATTTTAAAATTACTGCAAATGGAAAATATATGTCACATACCAGAATAGTTTCTGCTTCTTTGAGATTCTTTTGTAAATGTTTGATCTCTGCGTCTCTTTTGTCAACCTCTGTCCTCAGTTCATCTATGGTCTTCTGGATTTCTGCTTGTTCCGCAGCTTTAAAAAATGTAAGTAACGAATACATGAAATACCTATCTTTTCAAATGATCTCTCTCTCACTGTACCTGATAAATTCCCAATTTGGTCAATTCCAAATTTAATTTCAAAGAGACAACAAATACCCAGCTGCTACATTATTAGATTTGATGGAGCATACCATATAAAGCATATTCGAAAATTATGTGATCATTTTTCATGTTTATATGCAATTTACAATGCACCAATATATCAAAAATGTTCAATACTGGTAATAACTGCATAATGCATGAGCTTTTTGATTTACAATAAAATAAGGTGAAAAGATATTAGTGTATCATTAATAAAATTCTGTGGGTGTAAATATGTACAGCACTTTGAAAACAAAGTGTGCAGAAAACTTTATATATATCAAGTAATTAAAATGATCTTTGATACCTAATTTTAAAGTTTCTTTAATTTCTTTGTCTTTCATTGTGACCAACTCAACCAAAGTAACAGAATCCATTGCATCTGGCTTTTGTTGACCCTTTGGTGTAGCTGCCACTTCAAACAGTTCCCTGGAAAATAAATAGAACATTAAAAAATGATGAGATAATTCCAATTTCGACTCTAAATTTCACAATTTTTTTTCTTTGTCTAACTAGATACAGAATCATATTTTTGTGTAAATGAACAATTGAGGATTAAATTTCGATATTTCATATGCCCTCCAGACTGAATTTCATAACTTTTACACAAATTAAAAAAATATTTGCACAAATGCACTAAAATAGCTTCAGTCTATCTTGAATACACTAGCTTAATAAGCTGTGTAGCTATTTAAGCTATATATTGTGATGGAAATAATGAAAAAGAACATGTGAATTCCTTTTGCTGCACTGCAGGTGTAACTTTTATCATATCTAATTAATCAAATTTTGCTTTACATATCATTAAAAAAAAATCATAATTAAGATTCAACTCTTTTCAATACTTAGAAATGAGCTCAACATCTTCTATGAGTGAAAGCAACTTCTGCTTTGTACTGATCTCTGCCATGTTTCATCTATTTACAGTCCTGTCCAATGAAATAAAATTTTTCAAAGATTGCATGAGATTGTAACGAATCAAAATTTAGCTTACAACCCTCATGAAAAGTGAAACCGGAAGTACATTAATAAATATAGAAACCATGAACAACAAATTTGATGCGTGAGTATTTCACGTTTTAAAGCTTTGCATGTTGTATTTCTTTTTTTAGGTTACTGCAGAAAGTAATTTAAAATAAGTGCCTTCTTTGTGTAAGATCAAGCGACAGGCATTGTGCATTGAAGGAGTGTTAAATCAGGCGAAGCCTTATTGTGCTTGTGACGTCAGATTTCCGAATTGCCTGACTGTTTACACTCGTACAGACACGTGTAATATTGTGTAAAAATGCCACAAAAAATCAAATCTTTTGACGTTTTACGTTCTACGGCTGAGGATAATGAAAATGGGTATGGAATATTTATATCAAATATGTTTCATATTTTACCAATTCAGTCTTTTTAAGGTCTTAGAAAACTAAATATATTTTCCCGGCTTTGATTTCCATATGTGATTGATTTGATGATCTTTTTGCCTCTAATGTTTATAGGTCAATGTTCATTTTAAGATTCAAATAACATCAAATTAACTAATAAGAATTATTTAGATCACATATATTTATTCCTTATTTTGTTTAATACACTTTGTTTCCGATGAAAGCTTTTGCATAAAGTCATTATCTGCATTCTATTCTTTTCTGCATCTAACATTTTCCATTGTTTATATAGCCAAAAATTCTTATTGCACATTATGTAAATAGCAAGAAGAATTTCGATTTAGAGTGAACTGGTTATAAGTTTTTCATAATCGTGTAATTTCACTGCTTTGCTTCAGTTGAAGTTTTATATTCATCATAGATAATTTTCTTGAGTTTATCTGTGATTTCTTTGTAGATTCACATCTTTATAAAGCACTAATTTTAAAAATACATGTAATAGTGCTTCAGATGCTGCATTTGACAGAACTAAAGAAGAAATTTCAGATGATCCTACTTTATAGTCTTACAATGGAATGTTGGTATTACAGCTGTTGTTTTTATTATTTTGATATTTTTATGTTATAGTTTAAAAACAGAAGACAGTGGAGAAGAGGACAATGATCAGAGGAATGAAGCAGAGGACCCTCCTAGAC